TTTTTTTTATTCTATCTTACCGAGCTTGAGGTGTTAGCGTTATTTTTTTTTTTTTTTTTTTACCTTTTACACACACGCCTGCGCGCGCACAACGCACATACACACACATACACACACACATACACCACACACACACACACACACACACACACACACACACACACACACACACACACACATACACACACACACACACACACACACACACATACATACATACATACATACATACATACATACATACATACATACATACATACATACATACATACATACATACATACATACATACATACACATACACATACACATACACATACACATACACATACACATACACATACACATACACATACACACACACACACACACACACACACACACACACACACCACACACACCACAATGTATTTATAAACGCATATGTGTGTGTGTGTGGGTGTAGGCATGTGAGTGTACGTGTACGTCTATGGAGAGGGAGAAAGAGAAAGTTTGTGTTTTGTTTTTTTATAACGTATATTTTTGTATTTCAGGTTCGACGAAATTCTGATGGGTTCCTATAAAGAGATGGAGCCATGCATTCTTGTCAACTATTTATTCAAGCTGTGGTATGTGAATATGTAGACTTCCTTCCTTTGGACTGCAATTTTGGTGCACGATAATTTGGTGTTTTCCGATTTGTTAGATTGCATTGTATTACGTTGTCAGATGAGAATCTAAGCGTGATTGTTCTTTTTCCATGCAGTGGCATCATCAACGGAGCACTGAAGACCTTGAAAGTGAAGTCTTCACCACCGGAAGTAGCGGAAGCAAGACTGGCTCTGTTCACTGCGGCCAGACACACACTCGCCGCCGGAATGAACATCCTGGGTCTTAGGCCTTTAAGAAAAATGTGAACATTTCATCAGTATACGAGTCAAATATGAAATACGTATTCATACGCTTTACATCTGACCTATCATATCATACTTAGTGTGGAAGAGGTGCTTTTCTCTGTAAAATAATGGAACAAATTAAAAGTTTGTCTATATATAATGTAAAATAATTGTTTCCTTTAATATAATGTAATTTCCATAAACAATTGTTTTTGTGGGTTATGAAACCAATTGAGAACAGGGACAGCAGTGTACTGGATGCAGTTTTCTTTACAAATTTTATTCTTTTGATGCTAGATATAGTTATGTAAGACTGCTGCCATACCATCTGTATATAATACTGTATTTAATCATAGATTATTCCAATGAATTCTGGTACACATTACCATGTAATTCTGGTCTGGGGACAAATAGGTCTGCAACATAGTCTGTTGCAAGTATTCACTGCATGTAATGCATTTGTTCGGCGATACGTTATGAAAAAGGAACAATTGAGTTAATTTTCACAAGACTCTGACAGTATATTACAAACAACTATGTGGAAGAAAATTCAACATTTATGGAATGATTGTTATGGCGTGCAACCCTAGGCGCTCCCATGCAAGACCCCATCGTGTGAGATCTATAGGCCTCTCCTCCCCACCCCTTCCAGGAACTTTTTTCGCTTTTATTTTTTTTCATGGGTTTTCTACCTCATTCTTTTAAATTTTCGTTAAAATTATTTTTTATATTATTAATAGGATTATGAATAATTAATATAATTTATTTATATTGTAGTGTGATCAGTCTAACCAGGGTCCCGTCCAGTTCATCAAGTCACTCTTTTGAATTCTGCCTCCCTTGATGCTGGCGGGGGATACAGGCGCAAATAGACCTGGTTAACCCCTGTCAATTCAATCCCCTTAAGTGGTAGCGTGGGGGGAGACTGAATCATTAAATAGGGTGTTCCAGTGTGAATACCACTTTCTGACGTTCAGCCTAACCATATGGTAAAATACATACTAAAAAGTAATCTAAGAAAAATACAAAAGTAAAAGAATGTGCTAAAGGCACCTAAAATTACTGACTGTCGTATGCAAAAACTAAAAGAAAAGACTTCCAGAGTGGAGAGCCTGGCTGAAGGCCTTACCATAAAACAAAGACAAAACCAGCAAGTCTGGCGTCAGAGCTGAAGGCTTAAAACCCCTTAAACCTAAAAAAAAAAAAAAAAAAAAAAAAAAAAAAAATACGACAGTATAAAACCCGAGTCTGGTGACACCGAAACAGGAAAACTAAAACTAAAAGATCACTCAGACTTCCTACTTTGAAAAGTTAAAAGTTACAAATAAACAAAGAGAAAAACCAGCCAAGTTCATTTAAAAAAAAATAAATAAATAAAAGGATGTTCAAATTATTCAATAAAAATGTTCTTAAGATCACGTCCAGCTCCTATGCAAAGAATATCAGGATCTCAGTACTTAACTTATATCTTCCGTGATCGTCTCTGTGTTCAGTTTTATAAATATGGCGACACTGCCGGTGGTTCAAAGCTTCGGAGGATAGCGAAACACACTCGTTGACGTCTCGACTCGTACTGTTTATTGTTTTTCAATGCCTCGGTGACGTCAGAGGCCAAACACTTTTACAAAATATATTCTGTAATAAATAAGCTAAAAATGAGCAAAAATAAAACTAAAAGTATAAAAATAGAAATCATAAGAAAATAAAATACAATAACTAAAATGAACGAATAAACACTGTATGTAAAAATGCTTCCCCTACAACTTAAAATGAAAACTAAGTAAAAACGAGACCTTAAAACTTTATTGAATGTTAAAAAAACTAAAATGAATAAAAGCTGAAGATAAAAGGGTCATAAAAATGTCTCGTTGTTAAATCATAAATAAAAACACAGAGAAAACACAATAAAAAGGGGAAACTAAAATAAAACAATAAAAGTAAATAAAATCGAGAAAAATAACCAAAAACGAGGTGAGACACAAACAATCCTCCAACACGGCAGTCAGAGCGGGAGAGCGGAGAGGACAAGATGCAGCATCCAAGACCACCTTACAATATTATAATCATTATTATTTTCATTACTATTATAGATATCATGGCGATATGAATAATAGTATTTATTTTACTCTTCATATAACCATATTACCAAGGTTATTGTTATAGTTGCGCTACAATGTTACTGTTGATTGTTCGCAAGACTTTATTACAGTAATGACATTAATGCTAGCAGTCAGTATGATAATAAACGTCCTTACCTTGTATATAAGACGCTATCGTACCCGAGAACAGCACTGCCAGACATATGACAGAGAAACGTATCTATAAAAACGTGCTTTGCGAGGTGTGGTGAGAACCTTTGACAATAATGGCAATTAAAAAGATAATATCAATGATATTGAAGACCGTATTAAAACAGTGATCTTAAAGATGATAATAAAAGTGACGTATCAATACAACTAAAAATAATGATTATCATCACCGTAATTGCACATTATTTTGTTTCGGTGTCATTGTGACGATCGTAATTTTAACATGGACTATGATGGCACAATAATGGTAATAAAACAGAAGAGTAAAAATAATGATGTGATAAGAAAAATGCCAATAACGACAACAAACCACTAATTCAAATAACAGGAGGGATAAAATAATGTCAATGATAACCATGGTAGTCTGTGTTATCTGATTCCAGTGACTGTCGTCTGATTGGTGATAGCACGGGCAGTTTACTAAGTAGTGAATTAAGTGATGAAGATGGTGTATTACACATGGTATTTTTTGATGGCTTGTTCTGTCATTTGTATCATAAACGGAGCCGGTGAATAGTAGTTGCGTGAAGAGAAAAAAGTTGAGTGGCTTCTTTGGCCTTTTTAGCTGCAGCTTCGTTTCCTGCAAAGCCAACATGACTAGGATTCCAGATATAGCGTGTTTGTCTTTTTCTTTTATGTAAATCTTGTAACTTGGAAAAAAAGGGAATACATTTGTCTACATTACATTTTTTGATGGCATCAGCAACGGCTAGAAGCCACGTTTGGCCTGGAATTACTCGTTTATATCGTAGTTATAAAAACATTTTTTGTTATAGATTTGAAGTTAAAGTTATTTGTTCACATTATTACTTTAGCCATGTGGTGATATTTATTGTTTTAACTTTCATCATCGTACTAATGACGGTTGTATTAGGAAATGTTATCGCTTGTTTAGTTGAATTTATAATTACCGGAGTAAAATCTTCAAAAGAATCAAGATCATCAGCTAGAATTTGTTAGTCGGACCATTTAGTATGGATAGCCATTTTAAAAGGACCAATTAGGTGGGTGAGGAAGTGGGGTAATTAGTGGGATGTTTACCTCTGTTACAGTGGCAAATTGCTCAGAAAATGATACTGCTTTAGGATTCGAGAAGTCTTTGGGATAACTAGGTCTAGTACTCCTTAACCATGCATTGCAAGTTCAACTGACTAGAAATCAGTTGAAGATGATGGTACAGATGTAAGATGTTCGCTTGCATTATATTTCAGTTGTGGGTTTGTGGATAGGTCATTCATTTATTTCAGGGTGGTGTCCATGCAAGTCAAGCACATTAAGTGGATAACGTACTCTATAAATATTAAAAAAAAAAAAAAAGATAACTGCATCGTGTAGAGGAAGTGTAACAGCCAAGTTTTCAACATTTTGTCCAAATGAACAAGGGTTGTTAATTTGATGGTAATAAATAAAGGATCTATATAATGTAAATATTCCTCTTCTATTAGATGTGTTGTTTTATGATGGTTTGATATGATCCATCATACACTGTTTCTTACAGTATCATGATGTCCTATTTACCTTTGGAGATGGCTAACTTTAAAATAGCACTATCAGAATTAATTTTGTTAAGTTAGAGCGCTTGACAACGCCAGGTGAAGGGAAAAAGGGTCTTATGCTACCACCTAGGGGATCGCCCGGCAAAAAGTTGGGCATTAGCTGCAACTTGATATATATATAATATATATAATATATATATATATATATATATATATATATATATATTATTATATATACATATATATATATATATATATATATATATATATATATATATATATATTACGATCCTGAATTTGTTGGTTACATTTTAACAGTATGTTTAGCATGTTTTAAATAAAAACAATGAACAGTAACATATTCCGACTTCTCTCTGCAGCTGAAGCGTCAACAACTTTCTTCAAAAGACTTCACTTGACCATAAGATCTGTGCCACAAACTGTTGCACAGATTTAACTTCAATGCTGCATGGCTGTGCCCCAAGCTGCTGTGCAATTCAGTTGCTGAAAATTTTTTTTTTCCAAACTCAGACGAGCTGCCACTCGAAGTCTCAACGATCAAAAGATAAATGTTAAGCAACTATTAAAATGTTAAGCCAGATTCAAAAGACACCAAAGCTGTCTTTGGTAGATTAAAGAAAGTACCAATGGGTTGGATTTTTTCCAGTGTTTAGGAGAAGCGTTCAGGGGTTCGGCAACATGATGTGATATTTTACGCCATTGTTTAGACTCCGCCTGTCCAAACCTGAAATTTGTTACTACGGGCCCACTTGTGTCTAATGTTTAATCACCAGAGAAGCCTAGCCGTGGTTATGCTGTACAACAGAAATGCATTGAATATATTTCTATATCAATTGCATCCAGAGATCAAAGAAAAAAACTATGAATATTGAACTTTGAATTTGTATATTGTCAGTAGCGTGTGTTTTTATGTTATATGGTTTTGATAGCACTTAAGAATATGAATTTCTAAGAAAGTTTTGTAAAGTGAAGGAAGTTAACAAATAAGCTCATATAATATATATATATGTCGTTAGTGTAATTGGACTGGCCTTGTAATTGGCAATACCAGGTAGGAGGTCTCTTCTCCAGCTCAAAAAGGAAGCAAGGAATTGTCTGTGTTCTTCCATAAAAATGAACATATTTATTATGGTATTAGAAAAAGAGGAGAGAGAAAGTAGGGAAGGTTGGAACAGCAAGAGAGTGTCGGGGGAGGGAAAGCGCGATAGGGAGAATAAGAGAAAGAGAGAGGATGAGAGAAAGAAACAGAGAGTATGAGAGAGAGATAAAGAAGACGGGGAGGCAAGAGAGAGATAAAGTCTCTAGACTAGTCATTAGTGCTGTTATGTTTT